CGGGACTCCTGATCTTCCCTCAAATGTTATAAATACCTCCACCTCTCAGTAGTACCTTTTCTACTTTGCCTGAAATAATTTTCCTTCACATATTTGTATGGCCCACTTCTGTTTTCTTCAGGTTTTGGTGAGATGCCACACTACAAAAGGCCTTCTTGAGCCACCATGTTTATATGATAGTAAGCTCCTCCCTCCGTCCTTCCTCCCCTCATCCTTAGTACTCGACCTTTACTTTTATCTTTTCCATATTTACCTGTTAATTTGGATAAAGAACACTATGGTCTGTGTTTTAACTTGTTGTTTATTTGGTTTTGCTTATCACTATCTTCTTCCAGTATCAAGAACTGTACATGACTATAGAATGTGTTTAATGATTATTTCTTCATTCAGTGATGAAATGAAGAAGTAGTAGAAAGTTAGAGTGAATTGGCTGCTTTGTTAAATTTATCAGGTGAAGTCTCTTAAACCATCATGTGTGGTGACTGTATAAAGTCTCCAGTGGAACAAATCAAAGCAATGTGCTTCAGAGATATGTTCCCTCAGTCATTTTTTCAAAGGTTCAGGACAAGGTCCACATGAAAATGTTTTCATAACTTACCTTACACTGGCCTCACTATATAAACTATGAGAATCTCAAACCAATTACAAAAGTATTTTCACTAATATTTGATAGGATTAAAACAACTTCTGTAAAGTTCTATCTCAGTATCATATAGCGCTGGTACTATCTGAAGAAAGTTTGAAGATTTTATTAGCACCCTATTTTGATTTGGAGCCTTAATTTCTTTGTCAAGCCTGACTTCTTTCTAGTTCTAGTAAGCTTTAAGTAAGAAGTATTCATAAAATGTGTAGGGGAAATGTTGGTAATATAACAAATATAATGTTACAGACTGCTCAGCACTTTTTGAAAAGTGGGCCATGTATTTGGATGAAAATCTTAAATATTTCTAACCTGAACACTTAGAGGACAATTCCATGGCCTTTGCTTATAGCATTAATTTCAGAAAACACAAAACTTATGTCAACCAGGTGTTCTACTCTGGTATAAAATAATATTTCTGATATAAAATAAAAAATAGGTGCATATTTAAAGAAAAATCCATGCACTCATGGTAGTTTGTAGAAATTTTATTTGTCCAATCACTTTGCTTAATACATGAGTGTTTTAGAAACTCTCTCAGGAAGATCTTCGAGACTAAAAGCCAATCAATGATTCCTGTGAAAATAATGCTCGCATTAAGCCCATAAGCAGATAGTGTGCCATTAGAATCAATGCTAGCACAACCTCTACATAGAACTGTTAAGCAAAAAACCAGAAAAAACAGCAATAAAAGTAGAAAGAAAAGGAAGCTAGGTATTGTGCTAATTAATGTATAAGTATCAGTTTATTTGATCTCACCATTTCCATGATATGAGTGTTATTATCTCCATTTTATAGGTGAGGCATCTGAGTCCCAGACTTAAAATCATATTTACAGTCTCAGGGATGGTTAGTAACAATACAAGTAAAATTCATTGTTTATTAGGATCAAAGTTTATATTCCATGCCATTGTGTTACACATTAATCCTATTTTAGGTTTGTGTGTTTTACTTAGATGAATCAATAATTCTTCAGCTAATGCTAGGTCAAACCCAAATTTGCTACTTTGACTTTGAATAGAATTCCTGTAAATTCCCAGCTTTCCTAGGTCATACCCAAATTTGCTACTTTGACTTTGAATAAAATTCCTGTAAATTCCAGGAATACTACGAAGTTTAATATGACACACACTAGTAATCTGAGCAACTTATGTGATGACAACATTTGCAATATAACATACACTGGTGAATTCCTACAATCCTGCCTAGTGACACTATGTATTGTCTCTAATGTTCTTTTAAATTATTACTTTCTTATTGCTGTTAATGATTTGATCAATCTTCTATTTTGTTTTTTTTTTTTTTTTGGTACCAGGAATCAAACTCAGAACCTTGCACTTTCCAGGCAGGCACTTTTGCCACTAGCTACATCCCTAGCCCTAATCTTCTATTCTTACAGCAGGTAATCTAAGCAACTTCATTGAATGTAACAATATATAATATAACAACCACTGTTAATCTCTGTCATTTGGTTTGAAAGCCTGTATCATTTTTAATGTCCTTGCTTTGTGTTCTTTGTATTTTGCTATTGTTCTTTTTTTGTATTATTTTCTTTAAAACAAAAAAAAAATGACACACACTAAAAAGGAATAGGAGAGGTTACTGTTAAAAAATAGATTTATGCTAACTGTAATGGGATTTACATGGCAAGTTACAGATCTTCAGATTTTATCTTGTACATCCAGGTTTCTCATATTTTAGCCTACAGTGGACTCCTCTGGAGCACCTGGCCCCTATTCCAAGTGTTTCTAATGAATTAATGATTAGAAGTGAGGGCTTCTCAAAATTTCTAGCTTGAGAGGCAGGATAGGTCATGTTGTTACTAATTAAGATAAAGCTATAGATTACATGAGGGAGATCACACTAAATTTATATTGTAACCTTATTAAACGAGATTATTTAAGATAATAGGTGGATGTAACGAGTGATATATTGTAGTCAGAGACAGAACTAGTGCAGAAATGGTTGTACAAGTTCCACATATGGATGAAAAATTTCAAGCCTTCAGAAGAAAAGATAGCCACAGATCAGAAATGTGGGGATATATTTTTTATTTATGGGATGTGTAGAAAATAAATGAGAGATGGATCTCAGAACTCTCAAAGAAATAAAAGAACAATAGCAGGATGGCCTCTGAAACCAAGGAAAGGAAGAATTTTGAGATAGTAGTCAACAGTATAAAAAGTTTGACCAAGCATTAGAAAATACATTCAATTGTTTAATGAAAAAGGCAATAGTGGCATCCATCTCATAATCTGGTATTCCAGTGCTTCCATGATGTCAGGAATATGAATCAAGGATCTTAAACGAGAAGTCTGAACATATTACAGTAGCAAGTGCTTTATAGCATTATGCATTGCCATTAGAAATTATCATTAGTAGCTGACCCTTAGCCTCGCAGGTGCCTGGGAGGAGGGGACTCGGTGCCTGAGAAGCCACACAGCGGGGAGTGCAGGCCTCCTTGCTGACCCCCAGCCTTGCAGGCACCCGGGAGGAGGGGCCCTGGTGCCCGGGAAGCTGCGTGGCAGTGCGCACTCGTGCATGCCGGCCCTCAAGCCAGCCACCGCCAGCCCTCAAGGAAGTCACTGGACTTGGAGAACATGAGAATACAGACTAAGCCCAAAGAGTCAGAGGTCCTGTGGACTGGGGTCATGAGAGCCATTCAGAAGCTGTAAACCAGGAGGACCTTGTGCAATACCTGGGAATACCTCCTGGAAGCCATTCTTCCCTTGACAGTACAGGCTGTTGTAGAGGAGTGCATGGAGCTCCATAGAGGTCTGCAGCAAGATTCCTGCTGCCTGTGCTGACGGTTGGGGAGAGGACACTAACTGGTTGTGAATTTCCAATGTAATGGGGGGCTGGAGAGAAAAGGCTACAAAGAATGACTTTCACCCCAGATGGCTCACTTGAGATGCTAGTAAGAATTGCCTCCTCAGTATTCTATAGCCATGACTAGGAGGAGGCCAAGGAGAGAAAACAAAGAGACCGAGAAAAAGCAGGGGCTTTTGCTGCAGCACTAAGAGAAACAGAACCCAAGGCTGATTCCCGGGGCCCCAAGAAGAACTCAATGACTGCATTCATCTGCTACCACTGTTAAAAGCCAGGCCACCTCCAGAAGAACTGCCCTAAGAGGCTCCCTGGGCTATGCCCTGAATGCAAAGGTGACCACTAGAGATCAGTCTGCCCTCTGAAGCTGTGGCCCCAGAGCTGATACCCATCCTACCAGTTAGTCTAACAGGAATGAGGGGGCCCGGGGCATACTCTGCCTTCTCCCTCTGGCCAGACTGTCACCTCCATGGAGGAGCCCCGGGTAATCATGACTATGGAGGAACAAGAAAACAACCTATTGCTAGACACAGGTGCAAGTCTCTTGGTCCTTCTTTTCAATCCTGGCCTTCCTTCCAGCTGTCACACTTCAGTGACAGGAGTCACCGGTGAGGAGGCAATATGCTATTTTTGACAATCCTTAGGCTATAAGTACTTGTTAGATCCTTCTTGCATATCTCTGTCTTCCTGAGAAACCACTTTGAAGATACCATGTATTACAGCAGCCATTGATATTTTCCTACTAATCTATCCATAACTCTGTAATATTTGTATTGTTCCTATCCTATTTTGTAAATGGATGCATGTTTATTATTATGTATTTCCTACAACAACCATTGAGAATAGTCAATGAATATTCAGTTGGTCACTCATGTATAACTCTATTTATTTTCTTTAGAATCCACTTTGAAGATACCAAAGTATAGTACAGCAACTAATGATAATCTCCTACCTCTTTTGTCTGTAACTCACTATTATTTGTCTGTTTTCCTGAGAAACTATCTTGTAGATAGCAATATGTAAAATAATAACCATTGATAATTTCCTACTACTTTGTCTGCAATGTGGTAAGCCCCCCTATTATTATGTTATCCTTCTTTTACTCTTTAAAATAAAAAAAAATAGAAATTATCATTAGTAGAGTATAATAAGCATGGAAACTGATGTTTAGAGACAATGACTCTCCTTAGTCATACAGCCACAGCTGAATCACCATGGAATGGAGGCCTTTGGCTTGCTGGTGAATAACTCTGTTAAGGTTTAAATCTAAAGTGCCATCGCTGAGGGCATTACTTAGAAGGATGTATTCTTCCCCGCTTCTCTCTCTTTTGTTGGCTACCATCCCCTTCCACCATATCTGCTTTCGAGCCAGAAATCCATACACTGAAACTGTGACCCAAACTAAACCTCTCCTCCTTTAAGTTGTGGGCATGATGTATTTTCCCCAGTGACAGGAAAGTAATACTTCTAGATAGCATTACATATTAAAACAAAACTCAAAAGACAGGAATAAATGTGTTTAGTTTTCTCTTACCATCTGTAAAGCAGGCTTCTGGTTCGTCTGAATTCGTGGGTTCAGACTCTGCTTCTTCTTCTCCAGGCACAGGGTTAACAACTGTGCTGCACTCAGAGGAGCTTGATCGGTGCAATCTCTAAAAAGGAATTCACCCCCCCCCACCAGACATGTCACTTAGGGTTTACTCAGATCTTGTCCTACAATCTAACTTAATAAAAAGTCATGCAAAATGTTATGAACGAAGTGTAACTGTATGATGGCCATAAAAATGTATAAACACATGTTAAGGTCAAGTAACCTTACAATGCATCTGCACTTGATCATTCTATCTACATATCCTGTGAGAAATAAAATTTACTTTTAAGATGCTAACAAGTTTTCGGAAAAGATTGGCAAATAGTAGTATTTTATAGTAGTGGCCACATTTTATCATTATACCTTAATATAAATTTTTACAACAATTATTAGTTTTGGATAGTCATGCCTCCAGTAGCAATAATAAACAAGTGCTGTATTGCCAACACTGGGTAATTAAAAAGTCACTTGACATAAAAAGCTTTTAAATAGTTAAGGGTTTTTTTTTTTTTTAAATTCCAAACATTAAGATGATATAGATAGAAGTTCTTTAAAGACCAAAAAAGTGATACATTGTATTGTAATCAATATGTGAGAGACCATACCAACGCCATCCATTTTAGTCTAAAATAGTAGAAAAGATGGTAAAGTATTATTTATAAAATCAAGAAAGTACTAACAGAAGCACACATGCAAATTCTGAAATAAAGATTCAATGAAATTAAACATGACAGACTTACATATGGGAGCAATGAATTCATTGTGATTATGATCATATAACTGATCATAACACAAGTTTCCCCCCAGAATTTTATGATCAGACATGATGTCCACAAATACACAGGAATTTTTAGAGAAAATACATACAGTAATTATAGCAAAACTCTGTGAAATTTTCTTAATACTTTTTTTAAATAAAGGAGTAGAGCAAGACAGCATGGAAGAGTTCATATTTCATTTTCAAATGTTGAACATAAAAGTATGTAAAAGTATTAGTTATTGCAGCATATGCTTCTCTTATTAAAATTACAGTTTTATTTTTTGTAGAATAGTTCAAGGAAATGCACATGCTAAAATGTGGAAATACACATTCTAGTTAAACTGACTTGAGAATCCATAAATTTGTATTAAAATTACAGGTTTAAACTAAAGTGTTAATTTTTAGAGATTGACTTAGAACCTAGAAGACAGCACATTAAATTCATAGTACTTTTATTGTAATGCAGCATACATTAAAAAATGGCAATGATATTGAATTCTACATAAGGAATGAAGTAAACAGATGAAATCTTTTTATAATTTCAGTAAAGAATTATGAACACCTTTAGTATTAAATGAAATCTTCTAGCCTCTATTGGCTTCTTATCAGGCTGAGAAGTTTGTTAATAGTATTAGTTATGAACAGCTTCAATATAAAATCTCATTTAAAAGCAGGTTATTTAAACAAAATTACTTTAAAATAAGGAAGGGAACTAGAAATTAATTGTAACTGCGTACATTCTGTGAAACTTGAAGTCTTAAACTGTACATAATTCAATGGAAAAATATTAAGGGAACTTACATGTATTAATACTTTATATTGTGCCAATTGCTATAAAAACCAGTGTTAAGTAGCATATCTAATAAAAACCCAAGAATTAGGTGATAGGCTCAAATCTTTACATCTTAGTAAGCAATATGTCACCAAGAAACTGAAGAAAAAAGGCAGTAGGTTTCCATGTGAATGAGACTCAGTCCCACACACCCAAACAAAAATCATTAGCATGGATTTTGAGGTTAGACAGTGGAAAAATTGTTGATAGAAAGAATGCCAAGAACTTCTCTGCTATTGGTCAAAATATTCACAATAACAAGCCTTTATAATGGCTTTCTCTTGGTGGGTAAAAATATTTAAACAAAATGATTCTTATTGGCTGACTCTGACAGCACAAATTAATTAAAGCATATTTAATATCAATATTTGATTTTCTCTGTTTCAAAAAACACTAGCCAAGAAGATTTATGCCAAGTCAGCTTATCAGCATGTAAAAATTCAAGTAGTTTTACTTAGTGTATTTTGTCACTAGAACCTTTTTGTTTGTTTTCTTTCTCATGTACTATTTTTATCAAATTGTTATGTATAGGTTTTGGCAATTAAATTCAGAGTTTAGTTCAGAAAATAAAGTTATCCAATATTATTATTCAATGTAACAGAAATTATCAAAATATATAACATGAATTTGATTGAATTTATATCACATGCTAAGTCATTGTGGCCAATAAATATTTAGATATGTAATGTTTTCCTGTGAATAAATTAAACATTCACTCAATATTTCAGAACTTTAGTATACAAACAATTAAGTATATATGTGTGTATGGTGTGTACTCTAGAAATACAGACAGCTTTAGGCTTAATTTATGCAGTCTTGATAGTTTATCCTCTTAAAAGCATTTTAAAAGAATGTTGTTAATAGATAGGGTAGTATCTTTCATTTAAATTTCTTAGTGAGGTATAATTTGCTTAATTATTATTGGTGGTATCTGTAGATCTAAGTAATGAAACTTTCTTTTACTATACAGAGGAGATCATGTCAACCATATCTGATATGATTAATTGTATTTACATTTTATAAATTGAATCATTTTTCATAGCTTTCTTTGTGATTTTCAAAATGTGTGAATACCTGCACTATATTAACAAAAAGGAAATGAATACTTTGGTATAAGGAAATTTCATTTTCATTATAGTTAGGCCATTTTGAAATACTTTCCCCCCAGGAGTCTGATTTTTAATATAAAATAAAGCATACTTCCTCTTTACCATTTATCAACAGAGATAATTTTTAATCTTTGGAAGTCTACATATAAATGAAATAAAGCTAAATATAAGCCAACAAGATGGACTCATTATTATTAGGACTAGGATCTGTGTCAGGGTTAGCATGCTTCCCTTTTTATTGAATAATCTAGTTTTAACTGCCTGGACTTTCTAATATTCTTTATTTTATATGAAAGTGACAGATTTGGAGCAAAATTTTGAATGCATAATACTGAAAAATTAAACTCTCCTTTGCTCTTTCCTTAATTCAACTTTCTCAAGGTAACCATCACATAGCACGTGCATGCATGCACATATATGTACATATGCGATATATCTTCTTTATATGTGTCTTTCCACATTCCTCAGTACGCATCCAAAAACTGGGTAGTTTTATAAGCACTCTTTACCTTCAGTGTAAACTTATGTAGCTAAGAAGCCCCTGTCTATTGTTGAAAATAAGATCAAATTAAAAGTGTTATTATTCTTCAAGGATTTCCTTTGGATTGCTTTGAAGGCATGTTTTCTAGAGAGATGGTTAAATGTGTGTCATATTAGAAAATGCCCTAAGCTGGTCTCTTAAAAGTTACTATTGACATTTCTTAAAATAAGCATTAACACTACAAGACTATTTCATTGCTATTACAGTAGTTAATGCTAACTGGCCATTTCTTGTTCTGAGAACTGTGAAGTAAGATCATCTAATGACGCTGCAATCTGACACTCAAATGTAGAAAACCATGAAACACAGCAGCACTGTAAACACAGAACTCAGTGAAAACCTTTCCCAAAGAGGATGGCTACTTCCATCTCTACTATATTAACTTGAAAGTACATTCTGTACAACAATTTCACATAACAAAAGGAAGATATTCTCTAATGAGTAGTTATTTTATTTCAGTATCAAAACAAAGATACATTAACAGCAAGAAGTTTAAGAGAAGTAAATCAAATAGAAGGAAGTGATAGTTTAAAACTACCACTACCATTAGCATACCTCACAGATCTACCTCACAGAGAAAACATTCCTTAAATTGATCTGGAACCAGAAGAGACCTAGAATAGCAAAAGTAATCCTGGGCAACAAAGACAAGTCAGTGGAATCACAATCCCTGACCTGAAATTATACTACAAAGCTACTGTAATAAAATCAACTTGGTACTGGCTAAAACACAGCCCTCAGGATCAATGGAACAGACTGGAAGAAACAGCCACAACCACAAACACACTCAGCCACTTAATTTTTGACAAAGGGGCCAAACAAAGTCACTGGAAGAAAGTTAGCCTCTTTAATAAATGGTGCTGGAAAAATTGGCCTGCCACCTGCCAAAGACTGAAAATAGACCCAAGTCTATCACCATGCACCAAACTCAAGTCAAAATGGATCACAGATCTCAATATAAAAACAGAAACACTAAATCTGTTGGAAGAGAAAGTAGGTAAAAATCTTGAAGACATACGGGTAGGCAGAGAGTTCATGAACAAAAACCAAACCACAGGTGAAATACTTGAAAGAATCAACAACTGTCCCTCGGACAAAAGTCTTCTTTCTAGAACATATAAAGAATTACAAAACATCAGCCCCCTCAAATTCAAAGACCCAATCCAAAAATGGGTATTGAAGATGAATATACACTTCTCAGATAAAGAAATACAAATGGAAAATAAATACATGAGAAAACGTTCATCATCATTAGTTATTCAAGAAATGCAAATTAATACAACACTGAGATTTCATCTCACCCCAGTAAGAATGGCTATCATTAAGAAGTCAACCAATAACAAATGCTGGTGAGGCTGTGGAGAAATAGGAACTCTTGTCCACTGCTGGTGGGAATGCAGACTGGTGAAGCACTGTGGAAATCAGTTTGGAGATTCCTCAGCAAATGAGGTCTAGAGGTCCCATTCAACCCAGCTATTCCCCTTCTGGGTATTTTCCCAGAAGATCTGAAAACATCATATCACAGGGATATACGTGTACCCACATTTAGAGCAGCACAATTTGTAATTGCTAAATTGTGGAAGCAACCCAAATGTCCATCTACTGAGGAATGGACAAAAAATTGTGGCACTTTTACATAATAGAATATTACTCAGCTATAAAGAAAGATAAACTAGAGGCTTTTTCAGGTAAATGGTCACAACAAGAGACCATAGTCATAAGTGAAATAAATCAGACCTCCATATGTAAGCAACGTATTGTCTCACTAGTATAAGAACCTGAAATAGTGAATAAAAATTAGGAGGCTTGATAGACATTG